GCTTAGCTGTGAAAAAGAACATTTCCATTCATAAGGTACTGCAGTGATCAAATGTAAACTGTGTGGAAGAGACAGGATTCAAAAAGGCATTGATGTGGAAGTTCAGAGCAGTGCATAAATATATATGGTGCAAAAATACAATAGAAAACATTTGATTTGAGTTATAAAAAGTTATACTGGTTTTTACTGCTCCTTTAGGTCAGGATCACAAAGGAAAGAAAGCTTCTAAAGAACCACATCTGAAAAACACTACATGAAAGAACAGCAGCAATGATCGGGATAAAGTGATCTGTACATCATCAAGAACAACTGACAAACTCATGGGAAAACAAGTGAGATGAAAAGACTTTGTTCTGAGTCAGAAGCAGATCCTTTTCCTTTCATGTCTGGATTACATTTCTTCCACCTGAGATTTCAGAGCTTCGCTAACAGCCACACAGCTGGATGCAATCAGGACGCGGGGAGCGTCGTCTGTCTCTTTTGGACTCAGATGTGTCCTAGTTTGGGTGTGCTGTGTGACTCTGACATGGGGACCAGTGTTGGGACACATGTAGGCCTGGGGAGAGATCCAATCCAAGCTTGGTCTTGAACGCATCAACAGCTCGCATACAACAAGTGAACTGTGGTAACTTTGTCACCATCGGCGCTTTAGCAAAGAGGATCCAGACCTTCACAGAGCCGATGTGTCACATCGACTTTGTAAAAAAAAAAAAAAATCTATTTTAATTAACAGAGTACAGCGGCGTAGGAAGCGGGGGGGACGGGGGGGACATGTCCCCCCCAATATAAAAGCCAGGTGGATATGTCCCCCCCAAAAATTGTACCGCAAAATATTAGATTTTGACATTTTTTTAACTAGCGTGCTTTTATTTTGAAGGCGCAGCATAGCGTTACGTCACTGTACTCCCCCTCCCCTCTCTGAACTGCTGAGTGTTTGAGCACTCAGTCAGCAGGGAGGGAAACGGCGACACAGAAATCAGAAACTTGTGAAAGACGTAAAATAGTCTGTCGGGATGCTGCTATGAATATTGCCCATTTATAACGTTTTGTTTTTAGTTCACTTTCATATATAGAAACTTAATCTTTTTGGTTTAGTCATCTTAGTCTTGTACGGAAGAGGATTAGGGCCACTGGAAAAAAAAAGTTAACTGATTTTTACTTTTTTTTTTTAGTTTAACATGGGGGGGAAAGTCAGAATTCTGACTTTTCTCAGAATTCTGACTTTTTTCTACTGACTTTTTTCTCAGAATTCTGACTTTAATCTCAGAATTCTGACTTTTTTCTTCTGACTTTTTTCTCAGAATTCTGACTTTAATCTCAGAAATCTGACAGATGATTAATATTTCTAATCAATTTACAGTGTTTTTTTTTTTTTTTTCGGGGGGTACTTATACAGATACATAAAAACAAGTAGGTCTAACTAAAAAATAACCAGAATATATGTTTAGAGTAAAGATTGACTAGTGTTTACACAAGCACACAATTTCAAATCTGCTGAGCTTGCTGTGCAAGAAAATGTAAAATATACGTATAAAGAAATATAACAGGAAGTACTGCTAAAACATAAACTAAATGTTAAATAATGTAGATATTGGTTTAAAAAATTCTTCAGATTTGGAAATTTGGAAGGAATACATAATTTTGAAATTAATCAACAAATCTGGTAAAAAATAAATTAAAAAATAAAAGTTGCACCTTTTTACTTGAGGAATTTGTTGAATAACTTCATAATTATGAGTTTAACTAGTTGGAGGTAATGCTACACTTCTCTGCTTCCTGTCCTGCTCATAAAAGGTAAACATTATGAACCCACCATTCATTTTCTACACTATTTGGAAAACACAACACAAATGTAATATAACAAAAGTATGTTTAACAACAAACATTTTAGCATCAAGCCATAGCCATGTCTGTTTTAGAGCCTAAATCTCTTGTTTTAATGACCCTCTGCTCCTCCATTAATGAGGGGACCCCTCGGGCACGTAAAAAGTTGCCTAATTCTGTCATTTTCCACCAATGTGTCACTGGCCACCTCAAACAACTCACATCTTTGTCAGTGAAGCTGAGTGCTTCACATCTCTTCCTTCATGGTGACCATCTACATTAAGATCCAACATTCTGAGATTAAAGTCAGAATTCTGACCTTTTTCCCGTATTAAACTGAAATAAAATTTAAAAATCACTTAACTTTTTTTTTTTTTCAGTGGCCCTAATCCTCTTCCATAGTCTTGGGATGATCACTCATCCTATATTTAACTGCTAACTTTCTCTAGACGTTTGCCACGCTAGCCAACATGTTTTTTTTTTTTATAGATCTCATTTCAGTACAATGCCACCACCAACTAAAAGGCTGAAACAGCAGTAGGACTTACTCAGATTTTTAAAAAAAGAGAAACGTCAGTGTGAGTAACAGTCACCTAACACAACTTGTGTTGAAATTAGCCCGGTCTGGGCGTGCGTTTAACGAGGATTTTTTTATTTTTTGCGTGGTTTTGATTCCCCGAAATGGACAGATGTTATACCTGCCGTACTCCTGATCGTTAGTTAAAACCACAGGGAGAATTAATTTTAATTCTTAGCAGCGGCGGATGTATTGGTTGTGCAGCGGACTGCTGCACAACCACTAATTAACCAACTAATTAACTTCTGCACCTTTATTTCCTCAAATAAACTGCTGGCTCCTCTTTTTAGACTATAAACAGATTAACACAACATTGAAAACTCTGTAGTTTTCTCTGTTCTGTACTGCAAACTGGAATTAAAGGCGCCATTTCTACCAAAGGTCTGGACAGACTGGCGACCTGTCTAGAGTGTACCCTGCACCAGCACCTCCCCACCCCACTAAGGGACAGGGTGTACAGAAAATGGAAGGATGGATGGATTTATACCAAAGGTTTAGAATGCGTTTTTGAACCAGATGCTTCAAAGCGCCTGTCCATAATTCTTCAACACACTGTCTGCTCCCTCTGTCAGTCAACCTGTATAAATTCATTTTTGACCATTATTGCAAGTTTGACAAAATAAAACATATCAAACTTTGCACTTCTGTGGCCTACTGAATTGTTTTTAATCCAACTGAAATATTTACATTTTCTAGTGCGTATGCGGACACTAAATATGCCAAGGGCTGAAGCCCTTGAAAGACATCTCCCTTTGCTTAATAAAAGACTCCAGTCATTTTGTTTGGTGATATGCTCACATCTTATGAACAAATGCATTATGTAAATTTTAAATGCAAGACACATTTATAAAGGAATAAAGTAAAAGATTAAATAGCCTTTTTTTTAAGTAGCGTACTTAAGATATGTTTCTGTTGAATACGAATCTCAGATTTCCGACATGTGTCCACCCCAATAGTAAACATATTCCTACGCCCTTGACAGAGTATGTTTTCCACAGGAAAGACTTCCATGTAATATATTCAACTTTCTTAGGATCTCTTGAAGTCGTCTTTATCAGTAGCTATCTGGGTTTCCTGAAGATCTCCAAAGGGTTCCTCCAAAGTTTGACAGCTTCCATGATTGTTTTTCTTGTAGGGTATCCAACAACAATTTTGCAATTGGTACAGGTTGGATGGATGTTTTATTTTACTTACAAAGGACAATAACATTTATAAACTGCTTTGTTTAAATAGCATTTTAAAGAAGGAAAAAAACAGAAAGAAGGAAAAACGAGCATTAGGAGGATGGACAATATTGACTGAGAATGTAATCAGACTGCTTTGTAAAATTATTGATATAATGATGACACTAATGATAGAAAGTTTCCTTTAAGGTAACTTAGGAATGTGAATTGCTAAGAATTTGGTGATAAGATACATGTGCAACAATTACATTTATCCGGATATATCCTAAAATAGTGCAATAAATCTATTGTTACTTACATCCTTTGTAACTGTATGACTGCTTGAAAAACAAACCTAGACACATGTTGCATTAAGAAATTAGATCTTTATCACTAAAGTGTGAATTGTAAGTGCTTTGAATTATTTATTTATCTTTTTTATTTAAATTTCTGAATGTTCACAAAAAAAAACATTGCATAAATATAAAGAACAGGAATTATGTTAATAATGTGTCCGTTTGAGAGGGTTTTCAAACATCATGAACAAGAGTTTACAGTTTTATCATATTCTAAAAGGTAGAAATTAGCAGCTTTGATGCTTCAAGTAAAAAATAAAATACATGACCTAGTAATAAGCAAAAAATTGCTAATTTGATTACTGCATCATCAACTTTTAATCAATTCCAGTGTGCAGAGAGTCATTTGTTTAAAACAATAAACCTTATTACTTTGCAATGAAGATTAATTATCCCTTCGCTGAGGTCTGATTTTTGTCCTTTTAAGCAAACAAGTTGGATTCAGTTTCATGTTGAAAAATGGGTTTATCATCAGACCCTGAGCATTAATTAATGTATGAATAGTTACCTAAAACAGAAAATATATATAGTATATTTTCATGTTGAATTTAATTAAAAAAATCACACAGAATCAATCTGTTTCTAAAGTAAATATAGGTTTATATCTGATTGGTGAAGCTAAAGAGAGCGGTATTAGCCCCGCCCACTAATTATGAGCTGACCTGATTAAATAATCAGGTTTTAACAAGAGTCTCGCAAAAATATCAGAAGACTTGGAAAAACTTCGAAATTAGACCATTATAGTAACTTTTCATAACTTAATCAAGCAAATCATTTAAAAATATCTAGATATTCGTTTCTAGACGCACCGACTTTTTCTTTGTTTTGTTTTTTTGTTTTTTGGGGGGGCGTCTTTACTGCTGCAGACCAGCATCAACAGGTCAGGAAAAAATTCAGAACATTTCAAAAACTGAGCTCAGATGAGATTTAAAAACCTTAAATGCGTTAATAATAAATATTTCATAAAACACGAAGTCATATTTTCCTTTAAATTTCGTTAATTCCTCATAATTCCTGCAGACCACAGACCTACTGGGGGAAAGGTTGACCTCTAGGGGCTCCACAGGTGAGTCTCCCTACCTGTTGGCAGCATCCCGGATCCAGACGCGCCTCCAAACTCCTCCTCGGATGAAGAGGCGCTCCTGGTCAGCAAGCTGAGGAAACAAACTGTCCATGTTACCCAGACAGACATCTCCAAGCCTTCAGTCCTCCTTCCTGCAGACTGGGAATCTTCCTCCTGGAAACCAGCTCCAGTCACACTGAAGCAATCAAAGCAAAGCGAGGAGCATCTCTCTCATCTGAGTTAAGATGAACAACTGGTCCGTTTCTCCAGCTGCTGTAGCCTGCTCTTCTCCTTCTCCTGCATCATCTTCACCAAGGAGCCAAACAACAAGCTCCGCCCACTTCTCTAAAACGCTGCCCAATCAGAACCCCGTCCGCATCTCATCTTCAGGCCACTTGCCAGGACAATGAGTGCGCATGTCAGGGATCAGAAACCTGCAGGTTGTGTCGATGAAAAGACGCTGAATCGATGTCAGTCAACTTTATTTTACACGGCAATGCTCATCACCTAAAAAAGTTGATTGTTTTCCTTTTCCAGATAAAAAAAAATAGTTTAACCTGACAACACATCTTTATACGGAAGAGGATTAGGGCCACTGAATAATAAAAAAAAGTTATCCGATTTTTTAATATTATTTCATTTTAATATGGGGGAAAAGTCAGAATTTATCTCAGAATTCTGACTCAGAAATCTGAGATCTCTTAGAATTTATAACAAAAATCTTAGCATCAAGCTGTGGCCATGTCTTTTTTAGAGACTAAACTAGCTCTCTTGTTTTAATCACATTCTGCTCTACCATATATGAAATAGCATCACCGGGGACCCCTCGGGCACCTAAAAAGTCATCCAACTCTGAAATTAAAGTCAGAGAACAAAAAGGTCAGAATTCTGCAAGAAAAAAAAGTCAGAATTCTGAGAGAAAAAAAATTCTGAATTGTGTGAAAAACAAAAGTCAGAATTCTGCAAGAAAAAGTCAGAATTCGGCAAAAAAAAGTCAAAATTCTGAGATTAAAGTCAGAATTCTGAATTTTTTTTCCCATATTAACCTGAAATAGCATTTTTTAAAAATCTGTTACCTTTTTTTATTTTTTTCAGTGGCCCTAATGCTCTTCCGTATATTTATGTACAATCCTCAGATCAAAAAAGAAATGTATATCACCTTCTCGTGTGTGGTTTACTCCAGAAGGTTTTCTTCCATGCTCTCCAATCTTCTCTGTCATTGTCATCCCACAGCATAATGTTTGACTCGCTGGTTTAAGCAGGGGAACCCTCCGTGCGATGTATGATTTCAAACTATAATGTCTTAGTGTATTACCAACAGTAACCATGGAAACGATTATCCCTGCTCTTTTCAGGTGTAGTTCTTGGCTATTTTCTCACAATTCATTGACACCCCATGAAGTGAGATCTTTTATGGAGCCCCACTCTGAGAGAGATTGACAGTCATGTTTACCTTCTTCCATTTTCTTTTTTTCACCGAGTCGCTTGGCCATTTCCCCATAGCCTCGTAGAGGTGTATAATTTAGTCTCTAGTGTTTTTGGCCAACTCTTTGGTCTTGGCCATGTTAGTAGTTGGATTCTTACTGATTGTATGGGGCGGACAGGTGTCTTTATGCAGCTAACAACCTCTAACAGGTGCATCTAATTAAGGATAATAAATGGAGGGGAGGTGGACATTTTGATGGCAGACTAACAGGTCTTTGAGGGTGAGAATCCCAGCTAGATGGTTGTTCAAATGCTTATTTGCAGCTGTATCATACAAATAAATTGTTTTAAAAAAAATCATATATTGTGATTTCTAGTTTTTTTTTTTTTTTTTTTTTTTTTTTAAGATTCTGTCTTTCGCAGTGGACATGCACCTATGATGACAATTTTAGACCCATCCATTATTTCATGGTGGGAGAACTTGCAATACAGCAGGGTGTTCAAATACTTAATTTCCTCACTGTATTTATATATATATATATATATATATATATATATATATATATATATATATATATATATATATATATATATATATATATATATATATGTTGAGTGTATAGCTCATCTGTATTGTTCCTCCACTTTCTCTTGCATCTCTGCTATCCCTCTCCTATTGATGCATGACATGAACATTCAGACAATTTGGGGTGTAACGATCCATGTAGATTAAAAACACAGAAGGTTACAATTATAATAAGCTTGGATATATAGAATCACATTCATACATTGTATTTTTTTTCTTTATTTTTGATAATAATAATAATTTATAACAGACATCCCCAAAGTCGGTCATCGAGGGCCGCTGTCCTGCAGGTTTTAGAGGTTTCCTTCCTCCAGCACAGCTGATTTTAATTGAAAGCTGAATAACAGGCTTTTCCTCAACTGCAATCATCATAATCAGCTGGGCTAAGACATGTAAACCTCTAAAACCCGTAGGACAGCGGCCTTCGAGGACCGACTTTGGAGAGGCCTGTTTTTAACAATAACACGTTTCATTTATCAGCACTTTTAATAAAAAGAATATACTTTATTGAGAGCTTTAAAATGCGGAGGAGGATCTTGAAGTGGATATGCTGCTTTATGGATCTAGAGAAGATGTTTTAGGAGGGGTTCTTTGAATGTAACTCACATGTTGACTTTTAAAGAAGTCTCTTATGTCTCTCTTTCTTTTTTCAGACATCCTGGCTGCGAGTCTAATAACCAAACACACACACACACAATACCAATTAAAAGATTTCTGTAAATTAATACATTTGATACAACCCTTCTAGATTCAATTTAATTAAATTCAGTTTATTTCTAAAGCACCAATTTACAACATGTTATCTCAAGGCTTATATTTCACCAGATCATACAGTCAAATTGATTCAAAGTTTTCTATCTAAGGAAAACCAGTTGATTGCATGAGTCATTAACTCTAAGCCAATCCCTCACACTAAGCATGCTTGTAACGACAGTGGAGAGGAAAAACTCTCTTTTAACAGGAAGAAACTTCCAGCATCTGCTGAGGCCGACTGGGGTTCAAGTAGACAGAAGCAGAGATACAAAAAGCAGCTGTAAAAGGCGGCCCCGTCCAGGAAACACACAGCCAGGCAGGCGAGCTCAGATTCTGCAGAGTGGGAGAATAGAGATAGAATGAAGCAGAATGATCAAATAGGGGTCCCTATGTCCTCCAGAAGTCTAAGCCTATAGCAGCATAAATATAGAGATAGCTCAGGATAACCTGAACCCACTATACAGGTGCTGGTCATAAAATTAGAATATAATGAAAAAGTAGATTGATTTCAGTAATTCCATTTAAAAAGTGAAACTTGTATATTATATTCATACATTACATACAAACTCATATATTTCAGATGTTTATTTTGTTTAATTTTGATGATTACAAATGAAAACAAATGAAAATCTCAAATTCATCATATCAGAAAATTAGAATATTACTGAAGACCAATAAAAACAAAGGATTTATAGAAATGTTGGCCAACTGAAAAGTATGAACATGAAAAGTATGAGCATGTACAGCACTCAGTATTTAGTTGGGCCTCCTTTGGCCTGTATTACTGCAGCAATGCGGCGTGGCATGGAGTCGATCAGTCTGTGGCACTGCTCAGGTGTTATGATAGCCCAGGTTGCTCTAATAGTGGCTTTTAGCTCTTCTGAATTGTTGGGTCTGGTGTATTGCATCTTCTTCTTCACAATACCCCATAGATTTTCTATGGGGTTAAGGTCAGGAGAGTTTGCTGGCCAATTAAGAACAGGGATACCATGGTCCTTCAACCAGGTACTGGTAGCTTTGGCACTGTGTGCAGGTGCCAAGTCCTGTTGGAAAATGAAATCTGCATCTCCAAAAAGTTGGTCAGCTGCAGGAAGCATGAAGTGCTCTAAAACTTCCTGGTATGTGGCTGCGTTGACCCTGGACCTCAGAAAACACAATGGACCAACACCAGCAGATGACATGGCACCCCAAACCATCACTGACTGTGGAAACTTTACACTGGACTTCAAGCAACGTGGATGAAGTGCCTCTCTTCTTTTCCTCCAGACTCTGGGACCTTGATTTCCAAAGGAAATGCAAAATTTACTTTCATCAGAGAACATGACTTTGGACCACTCACCAGCAGTCCAGTCCTGTTTCTCTTTAGCCCAGGCAAGACGCTTCTGACGCTGTCTGTGGTTCAAGAGTGGCTTGACACAAGGAATGCGACAGCAGAAACCCATGTCTTTCATACGTCTGTGTGTGGTGGTTCTTGAAGCACTCACTCCAGCTGCAGTCCACTCTTTGTGAATCTCCCCCACATTTTTGAATGGGTTTTGTTTCACAATCCTCTCCAGGGTGCGGTTATCTCTCTTGCTTGTACACTTTTTTCGACCACATCTTTTCCTTCCCTTCGCCTCTCTATTAATGTGCTTGGACACTGAGCTCTGTGAACAGCCAGCCTCTTTAGCGATGACCTTTTGTGTCTTGCCCTCCTTGTGCAAGGTGTCGATGGTCGTCTTTTGGACAACTGTCAAGTCAGCAGTCTTCCCCATGATTGTGTAGCCTATAGAAGTAGACTGAAAGACCATTTAAAGGCTTTTGCAGGTGGTTTGAGTTAATTAGCTGATTAGAGTGTGGCACCAGGGGCCATCAATTTTGAACCTTTTCACAATATTCTAATTTTCTGATATGATGAATTTGAGATTTTCATTTGTTGTCATTTGTAATCATCAAAATTAAACAAAATAAACATCTGAAATATATGAGTTTGTATGTAATGTATGAATATAATATACAAGTTTCACTTTTTAAATGGAATTACTGAAATCAATCTACTTTTTCATGATATTCTAATTTTATGACCAGCACCTGTAAGCTTTTCAAAAAGGAAAGTTTTAAGCCAACCCTTAAAAGTAGACAGGACAGAGGAGCCTGATAACTACAAGATCTGCCTCCCTTTTTACTTTTAGAAATTCTAGTAGGAACCACAAGTAAACCTGCAGATTGAGAGTGAAGTGCTCTGTTAGGAACATAAGGAACAATAATTTCTCTGATAGCAATTGGAGCTTGGCCTTTTAAGGCTTTATATGTGAGAAGGAGGATTTGAAATTCTATTCTGGATTTAACATGAAGCCAATGAAGAGAAGCCAGGATAGGAGAGATATGATCTCTCTTTCCAATTTTCATCAGAACTCTGACTGCAGCATTTTAGATCAGCTGAAAGCTTTTAACTACAGTTTATAGACTTCCTGATAGTAAAGAATTACAATAGTCCAGCCTTGAAGTAACAAATGCATGGACTAGTTTCTCAGCATCATATTAGATTAAGTAA